ATACAAAGATGTACCCACATGGCCAGGGAGACCAGTTAGTTGCACCTAAGGCTCAGAGCATACCTGGGCTTTCAACCTAGAGTACACCCACCCCCTGAGCATCCAGGGGCAACTCTTGGCTCCTCAGGCATCAGGAGCTTCTCTGCCCCAGGCCCAGGCCCAGGCCCCTCCACCTCCCCCCAGGATCCTCCGGTTCCCATGGCAGCTGGTACGGGAGCAGGTACGGCAGACTGTGGCGGAGGCCCTACAGGTATGGAGTGAGGTGACGCCACTTACCTTCACTGAGGTTCATGAGGGCCATGCTGACATCATGATTGACTTCACCAGGTAAGTGCGCAGCATAGGACCCCTGAGGGGAAAAACCCTACTTCCAGCAGCCACTGACTCTATCCCCACCCACCCACAGGTACTGGCATGGGGACAACTTGCCATTCGATGGGCCTGGAGGTATCCTGGCCCATGCCTTCTTCCCCAAAACTCACCGAGAAGGGGATGTCCACTTCGACTATGATGAGACCTGGACTATTGGGGACAACCAGGGTATGGGCTGGAGACCCGTTTTCCAGATGGAGCAAATGGAGACCAGAGAGAATGGGCACCTACCATGGACCCAAGCTCAGGTCCAGAGCTTTGGTAACTGGTGATTGAAGGTGGGGGATTTCTAATTTACCTCCCTTTTCCAGGCACTGACCTGCTACAAGTGGCAGCTCATGAATTTGGCCATGTACTGGGGCTGCAACACACAACAGCAGCTAAAGCCCTTATGTCCCCTTTCTACACCTTCCGCTACCCACTAAGCCTCAGCCCAGATGACCGTAGGGGCATCCAGCACCTATATGGCCAGCCCCGGCGGGCCCCCACCTCCCAGGCCTCAGCTCTAGGTCCCCGGCCCGGGATAGACACCAATGAGATTGCACCAGTGGAGGTGAGACTCATGAGAGTGGAAAGTCGGGAGTGTGACCCCGCTAGCCTCTGAAGCTCCAGTATGACCTCTTTTCTGATCCCTCTATTTCGCCCCAGCCGGAAGTTCCACCTGATGCCTGTGAGGCCTCCTTTGATGCAGTCTCCACCATCCGGGGAGAGCTTTTTTTCTTTAAGGCAGGCTTTGTGTGGAGGCTGCGCAGTGGCCGACTGCAGCCTGGGTACCCTGCATTGGCTTCTCGCCACTGGCAGGGACTACCAAGCCCTGTGGATGCTGCCTTTGAGGATGCTCAGGGCCACATTTGGTTCTTCCAAGGTGAGTATGGATTGGGAGTCAGCTCAAGTGACCTCCTATCATCAGGAATGTCATGGCCAAGGGTAGCAACAGACAGTTCCCCAGAGACATAATTGGTAGGGAGATGATGTCCAGAAGACTCAGGGCCAAGAGATAAGCATGGATCATTCATCAAGCACAGCTGGGAGGCTCCCAAAGAAGGTAGCAATTGAGATCAGAATAGCATTGAAAGTTATTGCACATGCACGTTGGTGCACTCGACTCTCAAAGTGACCCTATGAGGTGGAATTCTAGGGATGGGGCCTCTGGAACGCTTATATGATGAAGTGACTCACTTGAGAGCACAGCTTGAAAAAGGCAGAGGAAGAATTTGATCCAGTTCTGGTGACTCTGAAGCCCATGCTTTCAGCTTTCAACTAGCAGAGATGAGAGCCTGGAGCATTCCAGGTGGCAGGATTTCATAAACAAAAGCACAGAATGGGAAACTCCATGTGGGTTCCTAGACAGCCAGGACCTGCCGTTGCAGGGCTGGGTCCCAGGGAGTGGTCAACAGGCATTTGTGACAGGCAACTAAATGCTGGGGGATACAGCAGGAACCCAGGTATCCCTCTGCTGAGTAGAATAACCTTCCCCATGTGCTCTTTTAAAGACTCTTCACTGCCCTACTTATCTCAGCTGGGTTCCAATATCCCTCTGAGGCTGGGAATGCTGAGCAGACATAATTGGCTCACATATTTTATGGAAAAGGAAACTGAGTCTGGGAGAGTCTGTGGTGGTGACCTAGAAGGTACACAGTGGTTGGGCGTGGTCACAGTAGCTTGATAGCTCCTTGCAGCCTTCCCTCTCTGCAGGTGCTCAGTACTGGGTATATGACGGTGAGAAGCCTGTCCTGGGTCCTGCACCCCTCTCAGAGCTGGGCCTGGTGGGGTCCCCAATCCATGCTGCCTTGGTCTGGGGTCCTGAGAAGAACAAGATCTACTTCTTCCGAGGTGGGGACTACTGGCGTTTCCATCCCAACATTCGGCGTGTGGACAGTCCTGTGCCACGTCGGGCCACTGATTGGCGAGGGGTGCCTTCTGAGATTGACGCTGCCTTCCAGGATGCTGATGGTGTGTTGTGGGTAGGATAGCTGGTGGGAGGTGGGTGCAGCAGTTGCATCCCCCATCTGGTGGCAGTTAAACCTCGTCACACCCACTTCAAGAGGCCCAGCTCTTTATAATAGGTCCCCTGTCTCCCCACATCTTACCCCCTCCTGGTGGCCAGCCATTGATAGACCCTGTGTTGCAAATGAAGAGACTGAGTACCAGAGCCGTGCAAGGACTTGCCCAGATTCTTTGGTCACAGTTGGTAAACAAGGGTAGAGGATTTAGCCCAATGGTAGAGCACTTACCTGTGGTAAGCAAGTCCTAGGTTTGATCCCCAACACTGCAAAATGAATGAATGAATGATCACTGTACACTGAGGACTAAGAATGCTCTAAGCATAACACCAAGCTCCTTCCGTGTCTCTTGCAATGCTCAGATGAGCCCTCTCATGTAACATCTCTTATGAACCCACTTTTCAGAGAGGTTCATGCAATGAGGTCCCTAACCAGGGCCACTCAGATAGACAGTGTAGAGCCAGCACTCCAATCCTACCACTGGGAAACTTTCAGTAGAGGACTAGAGCCAGTTTGGAACTCAAAAATCTAGTACTATCTCACTTGACTGCCCTCTCTTTGCTTCTTTGTTCCCCCACTTTGGGACCCAGTGGGAGAGCTGTTGGGTTGGCCTCAGGCTCTGGGACTCCAGCATGTTTCTGTGTAGTCTGGTTGGCAGGTGTGGAAGTAAGATGACCAGGTAAGTGAGAGGAGAAGGACAGGTAGGAATTGGGTTCTAAGACTCCTTGCACCTATCAGGCTGGACTAGACTCTTGTATAGCTGGAAGCATTCCCTGGAGAGAAATGAATGTTCTGAAACTGAAAGACTGGCTCTGGAACCTTCAGGTTTCAAGGAACTTAACAGTATCCAAGGCCTGTCTTCCCCAAGCCCGTACTTGGGCACAGCCTGATAGGCAGGCACAGGGCCCTCTATCCACTTTCCCAGGCCTGATCTTCTTTTCTCTTCAGGCTATGCCTACTTCCTGCGTGGTCGACTCTACTGGAAGTTTGATCCTGTGAAGGTGAAGGCTTTGGATGGCTTCCCCCGTCTGGTGGGCCCTGACTTCTTCAGCTGTGCTGAGACTGTCAACACTTTCCGTTGAAGCCCTCAGGGGCTCTGATTCCTGCCAGACCAACACCACTTATATCAGGATATAGACCCACAGCCATCTTTGTGTCTCAGGGCACCAGAATGGGACAGAGCTATGTTTACTCAGGGGGGTGGGATGGGGGTGCAACCACCATGACAACTGCAGAGAAGCACCATGCGGGTCATGGTCACCTGCCAGCAACTGTCTCAGACTGGGCAAGGAGGCATTACGTAAAAGTGAGGGAGATCTTGGGGCTGGCCTTGGTCAAACCTGGCTGCCCAGTGTTTTCATCTCTGCCCCTCAGGGTAGGACCTTGGCAGAGATGGGGGGAACTACAGCATCCTCACCCTATGCCTTCCTGTCAGGCTATGCTCAAGCATGGGAGATGCCTGCAGGATTCTGGTACTGGAACTGGGGGATGCTAGGAGCTCTGTGGCTTTCTACCCTGGTCAACCAACTGGGCCTTGGGGCAAGACCCTTTCCTGAGAAGTCAGCTCTGGGTAGATGCTTGGATCTGGATGCATTCTCGTTGATGAGTCAAGAGATCTGTTCTCCAGGATGCAGGCTAAAAGGTCCAGTCAGCTGGGAAGGGGGCTGCTTCCTTCTGGAGACCAGGAGCCTTAGAGGCCCCAACATACCTCAATTCTATCCCTGGCCAGGTGGTTCTGAAGCCCTCATCCAAATACTGGTATCCTCCAAAGCCATGTAAATGTGTGTACAGTGTACAAAGGTTTTTTGTTTGTTTCTTTTTCTTTCTTTCTTTTTTTTTTTTTTTACTAAGGACTGTCATTAAACAGGATTGTTTTCTAATTACCAGCCTGCTCTCTTTGTGACAGTGTTTCTTTGGGTTGGCCTTGTCTTAGGAGTCAGAATTGAAATCCCTTCCCCCAAGCCTCCTATCCTTGGGGCTGGGCACAATGCTCAGGGCTCCTTCTGCTCCATTCCTCCATCATTTTTGGAAGAACACCTGCAGTGGCTTCTTAACTAGTTCCCTGCTTCCCCAATGACCCCTGCAGTTCAGACTCCAAAGTGGCAGTCCTTTTATCTAATGCCACAATCCACTCCTATTCTAAAATACTTTGGTTCCCACTGCTGTGAAAACACAGAACAAAACGTAGTTATTATGGCCCTTCCCAGTTTTCCTGCATCTCCTTTCACTGTTTTCCAGTCCCACTTGTCTTCCTCATAGTAGTATCTATTACAGCTGCAATTTTATTAGACTGAACTGTATAAAATCATCACTAGTGGGCTGTTTTTGACTTCATGCCATTACTGCTGTATGGTTGCTGTGCACTCTCTTAATGTTGCCCCCACTCCCTTTAGGCTACAGGACAGAGCCCCAGGGCAGGGCTAGACTTGTTGTAAGAACAAAGCACAGAGCAAAGGAGGGAATGGAGGTGTACCCACCCCTCTCCAACGTTCATCTAATGCACCAGCCAAACCAAATAACACCTGGGTCTTTGAATATTGCCAAACTCCAAAGCCTTTGCCCAACCCAGCCCCCACCCATCGTTGCCATTCTGCCCATGCCCGAAGCCAAAGGAACAACTGTGGATATGAACTGGGATATCTATTCCTATAATCCTTCTTATCTGCTTAGCTGCACTGTGTTTCTGGATGCGGAAACCGAGGTTCCGGCCTGGGATCACAAAACATGAGGGCCTCTCAGGTTTCCAGATGTAGCTCTATCTTCCTCCGGGTCTTCAGGCCTCACTTCCTTTCTTCACCCCTGGGCTGAATGCCAGTCCTGGCTGTGAGACTGGGAAAGCCACCGCCTGACTCAGGCCCTCAGTGGCTATTTCCGTCCGTGAGAAGCCTTCATCCGCACAAGACTTGGGAAACATCCTAGAATGGAAAAGAAACTGGTCGTGGTTCCTTTAAGGGTTTTGCGGGAACGCGCCTGATCTTTTGTTTGGGCGGCGGCGCGCGCGTCAGCGTCAACGCCCGCGCTTGCGCACTAAGGGAGGCCTGGTCGTCTTCTGTGGCGGCAGCTTAGGAGCCCGGTGGTGGCGCGAGCGCCTGCCCGGCCCTCCCTTCCCCTCCTGGCCCCGGTTCCCCTCGGTTCGGCGCGCCCCGGCCCCACCCCAGCCTATCTGATCCTTCACATCTCGGCTCCGGCCGCTCGCCTCCGCCGCCGCAATGATGATGATGGCACTGAGCAAGACCTTCGGGCAGAAGCCCGTCAAGTTCCAGCTGGAGGACGACGGCGAATTCTACATGATCGGCTCTGAGGTAGCCCGCGGCGCGTTCTTGCCCTCCCCGGCCCCGGTCCCGCGGGAGCCCCGGGGCGGGTCTGTGCGCCGGGAGCGCGCGTCTCCATTCATCGCGGCGGCGGCGGCGGGCGGGCGGGCGCGTGCTTGGGGCTGCGGGGCGTGGTCTGGTGGGCGTGGCCGGGCCGGCCCCTACTTGATCTGGGTTTACTTACCCATTTCAGTGGTCTCGGACGCTATCTGCTGCCAGGGCTTAAGATACCACGGGACTTGCACTAAATTGGTACAGCTCCAGCCCGACGCAAAGGAATGGGATCTTATGTTAGCCCTTGTGGCTCCTGGGGGCGGAGTGGCTGCACTACTGCCTTTGAACCTTCTGAGATGTTGGAAATCTCAGGGGCACTCCCTCCCGTTGCTCCAGGCGAGGTCCTGAAATCTCGGGTGGTGAACCTGAGACTTAAGGCCCATCCCCTTTGTCTTCATTTCCTCTGAGGTGGGTGGTGGAGGTGTTTTGGCCTTTGTTTATCTGAAGAAACTGGTTGGGAGAAGGATGTTTGCTTTGGGGTGGATAAGACCCCAGTGCTTGGAATTGGATCTTTAAGCAATTGAAGCAATTGATACGTTGGTTATCTGTGACCTGATCCTGAATTATTACAAGGGAAAAATCTTAAGGATTCTTTAATCCTTAACTAGAAGTGGCAGGGCTTTGTTGAATCAGCTGGACGACTGACTTTAGGAAAACCCTACAAATGGCCCATCAGTGGGGGTTTGTACTGAGTATATACATATTTTTTGCATCTAGTGCTGTTCTTTTAGTTCTCACAGCAGTCTTCAGCTATTTGATTTTCCTTTAAAAAAATTAAAATGGGGGCCTTCCCATGTTGCTCTGGCTGGCCTAGAGCTCAATATCCTTCTGCCTCAGCCATCACAGTAGCTAGGATTAGATATGCAGTACGATGCCCACCTCTTTATATTCTTTTTTGTTTTTAAATTGTAGATAAAAAAATTCATATGAGCAAATATCAAGCAGTAGAGTCTCTTGTGTAAGGAGGTAAGTGCCAACTCTGGAGAGCTAAAGTCATTACAGAATGCCGAGGATTACCTCTCCTTGCAGTGGTTTTCAGTATCATACACCAACATTTCATTCATGTTGTTAACTTTTTATTTTTTTGACAATTGAACAGTGTGATGAATGAAGCCTCATACTGGTCACACCAAGGTTTTTAGGACACCCCCATGATTCCTGTTGTTGCTGTATCAAGTTATTGTTGTCTCTTCAGAACTTTAGTATTTCCACTTTTCACCAGTTTTTTAATAAAACAAAAAGAGCAGGATGCAATAAACTTTACATGTTGTCACTTTAAATGCTGTTGTTCCAGGAAGAATGTTCTGAGGACATGGAGTCATGTCTGTCCATCTCCCACGGCTTAGAATGGTCCTCAGCAGGGAGTAGGTATCTGTATAAATGCAGGGTGTAAAAGGCAGTTGAGGAGTTTCAGTGTGTGATATTGGGCAGGTTGTTTTAAAGAAACCTATACCTGATCTAATGAATGAAAAAGGAATCTGTTTGGCCTGGACTCTGAGAGGATGGTACCTTTTTTGGGTATCAGGGATTGAACCCAGGGACGCTTAACCACTGAGCTATATCTTCAGTCCTTTTTATATTTTTATGTTGAGACAGGGTCTTGCTAAATTGCTTAGGGCCTGAGCCACCTCACTTGGCAGAGGGTAGTACTTTTGAAAGGAAAGTTCTCATTTTTTTTGATGGAGCAATTGAGAAGCAGCACGTGGCAAGGTGGGAAGAAAACCACTAGAGGCTTAGGTTCAGCCCTTCCTTCTATCTTTGGTGATCCAACCTAGGGCTTTGTGCATGCTAAGCACATGCTCTACCACCAAGCTCTGTCCTCAGCTGATATCTTCGTTCTCACATGTATAATGAAATGTTTAGACTAGATGGTCTCTAAGAATCAACCCCAAATGCATTTTAGGTTTTAGAAGGCTGACTTCAGGCTTCTCATTTAGCCCCTTCCCACCTGGTCTTTTCTGTTAAGTGAGAATAATCATCCTGAGACCCAAATGGAGAGGCGGTTTACTCTCTTGGACCCACTTAACAGTCACCAGGTCTTTGGAGTTGAGGGAAGGGTTTAGGTAATAGCACTATTTTCCAGTAGATCCTGCAATATTAGTCCGTCACCTTGGAAAACAGGCATTATATTCAGAGTGGTAGGCTGGCCAGAGCAATACAGATAGTGCCTCTGTGTGACATTGTGGAGCTGTCATCAAAGAGTATCTGCAGTCACTATGAGTATGTGTCACTGTTTTCCCACCTTCTGTAGGCAGCTAGATATACCAAGCCAGAAGCATAGAGCTAAGAGAACTCTAAGAAATCTCAAGTCCAGCATCTTCGTTTTACATTTAAGGATCCTGAATCCAGAGACGGCAAAGCCTGGTTCAGGGCAAAGCCAGGAAGGCAAACCTCAGTATCTTAAGTTTTGAAGGGACCTTGGAAGGTGTGTAGGGTCTGAGAATCCTGCAGAACTTTCAAGGCAATCATGGTAGCCAGTATTGTCAACATATTTTCAAAAATCGAATGGAAACTATACTTTTACCCTTGGATGGTAACAATACGCATGCCAGATAGCAACAAGATGTCTGTGTTCTCTGTCTGGCACTGAGGGACTCACTGTGTCTTTGTCTTTCTCTTATGATGTTTAGGAGCCTTGGTAGTTGATCTTCCCTTTATGAAACATGGAGATATGCACTTTTACTAAATAAATATATACTATTCTGGGTAGATAGAATGGGAGAAATATAGAAGTACACCTTTGTAGGGCAAGTTCAGAGTTGCTAAGCATATAATTCTAGGATGCAGTTGAAACTAGCACCTGGTACCCCATCTGTGGCTGTCTTCTACAATGTGACTCTGAAGCAACTGTTTCTGAAAAGTTGAGACTATGGGGTATCTTTATACAAACTTTAGGACTAGCTTTCTTTTCATGAAAAAAGTTACTTTCTATATAGTACAAACTGAAGCTATTGTTTGGGGAAGTAATGATTTATGTGGCAGCCTGGTGATTGTCAATAAGTGATTTTTAACTCTTTGGAAAATTCTTTTGGTACCCTCAGTTTGGGCTTTGTTACTAAACAAAGCAACCCAGGCCATGGGGAAATTACCATGCAGCTGTCTAAAATTAAAAGACTTTTCAGTGTTTATTACATCATAAAAATATCAAAGTCTGCTTCTTAAGATAAAAGAAGGTCAAAGAAGCTTTGCATTTATGGAAAGTGCCAGAGATCCTTATTCTAAAATCAAATCACCATGAGTTTCTTGCTAAACTCTGGGGTCTTCTTACTAAGCTCTGGGGGCCTCCCTTGTAGACATCTGGTCAGACCCTTCGGAACTTGATTCTGTTGTCAGAATGCACAGATGCAGGCCAGATGTGCACTGCTGTTGAACCCTTGATGTCAGCAGAATGTGTTTTATTGCTGCTGAAAGCCTGGCGCCTGGGGTCCACCTGAAGGCCTGTTTGTTGGACACTCAATCCAACAGATCATATACATACCAGGACCCTCCCCTTCTACATGGAGATGTGACCCTCATAATGAGCCTTCTTGCTTTACCTCATAGGTGGGAAACTACCTCCGTATGTTCCGAGGTTCTCTATACAAGAGATACCCCTCACTCTGGAGGCGACTAGCCACTGTGGAAGAGAGGAAGAAAATAGTTGCATCGTCACATGGTAAAAAAACAAAACCTAACACTAAGGGTGCGTCTTCACGAGGGTTTGTAAACCTGTTTCAAAACCACTCGCTTATGTCATGAAGATAAAACGTTTTCACTCCAGTGTCTTCACTGCAGCCTTGACCTTAGCCAAGCAGGAGCATCCCAGGGGCAGGGCTGCCCTGTAAGCACACATGCAGCTCAGGTGAGAGTGCAGCTCAGAGAGCTATTGGTTATCCATTGTCAGGTATTTTCAGCTGGGCCAGTGGGGGTTGAGGACCAGGGCTGGGACAGTAGCAGGTGCTGTGAAGACATGTTGGTCTCAAAACGTTTTAGGAATGCTGCGATGCTCTGTCATCTGCCGTGGGCGTATTGCCATAGTCATCCTCCATGCAGCCCTAGTGGCGGGTGGTGGCCCCAGCCCCCACTCCCCTCTGAGGCTTTCACTGCTTGCCTCCCAGAGCACATCCATCCCATAGCACTTCATTCCCCCAACAGCCAGTGTGCTAAGCTCATGTGCATGTCCCTGCTCATTGTGGCCTGCCATGTGCCTATTGCTTACTAGGTGAGCTGCCTGACACAAGTGAAAGTAGCATGCTTCAGGCCATGGCAGCTCTGTGTAGGGCAAATATGCTCTTTAGCCATTCTGAGGGCTCCATTGGAAGTCATATCCACAGGGACACTGGATGCAGTGTGCCATGTGACAAAACTGCTTCCTGTTTGGCAATGGTGCCTTGTAGAGAGCTGCCCTGAGTCTGAGTATGTGCATGTGTGTGTGTGTCCACATGTGAGAGGCGCGCACATGTGTGTGTGTGTGTGTGTGTGTGTGTGTGTGTGTTGCTTTGCAGTCTGTCTTGTGTGTGTGTGTGTGTGTGTGTGTGTGTGTGTGTGTGTGTGTGTTGCTTTGCAGTCTGTCTTGTTTGGTTGCATCTGTAAGTACTGCTGTGGTTTTGCCCGCTGTGGGCAAACTCAGGGTTCTTTTAACGCAGGAGCCGGAGCTGCTTTATATTTGCTGTTATAACATTTCCACTCATTTGCTTAAAATGGTTTTTCCTCTGTGTTCCTTCTGCCCCAAGTGGAGCATCAGTCACTACTGCAGTGACTTCCTAGCTTTGCTTTTCCCTCCGCAAGTCCCTGGTGAAATCTTGGTGATGCTTCTGCCTTGTGCTTTGGACATACCTTCTCTATAACCAATTGATTCCAGGAGAAACCAGACTGGGCCCGCATACAGGTAGCAGCTCTTGACCAAGGTTCCCTGGAAGAGCTAGAGGTCAAGTTGCCTAGAATCTCTCCTG